CCTGTGCCCTCACTGCAGGCAGGGCGCTGTGCCCGCTGCTGCCCTGTGGGATGGGGCTCCCAGCTGCCCTCCTTTAGTTCCAGAGCCCAGTGCTCAGAACAACATTAACTCCTGGCCTGCGAGCGTCTCGGTTACTTAAACAAATGCTGAATCCTAAATGGATTTCACACTACAGTGACCCAGTCAGAAAACCTGCCATGAGAACAACACGCAGCCTGTGTGAGTAATGATGCAATGCGTTAACACTTCAGCAAATTGTAAGATTAAATTTGCGTATACGGGGAGACAAAGACTATGAAACCAGAGAGCCTAAGCCAACAAACTCTCGGATCTGCTGCACAAATACCGTAAAGTTCTCCTCCTAGCAACTACCTCGCTCCACATCTAACTGTTCTTAGAAACACAGAAACAAATACAAGCTGATTATTTTAATACATTTTGGAGTTCATTTCTTATGCCAGAGACGACACACAAATGGATGTTTTGATAACTCTGGGTTCACTGTAACCACAGCTCTGCAAAGCTCTTGGGTTGAAGACAGGATTTCATTGATAAGTCATTTACCTCAAAGATGACACTGGAACCCTTTGCACAACCCATAAACACCTCTAGCAATGAAAGTTCTACGAGTGAGGGACAGGGGGGAGGAAAGTTACCAGTGGGAAACATAAGCTCATTTGCTCAGCCTGGCCTGCTCTCACCAACCATGGCAGCGGATGGTGCCCTGTGGGGAGGAGTAATGAAGAACCCTGAGGAAACTGCTGCCAGCCACATTTTGGGCAGATGAGCCAGGGCTGGATCCCGCATGAGCTGCAAGTGTTCTGAAAAGACCCAGAAGTCACAGATTACCAAAAGAAAAAAGAAAAAAAAAAAAAGCAGCTTATTTTTATGACTAGCACACAATGGGCTAACAGAATTAAGAGATGATCTCTTCACTGAGATTTGCACTGCAAGGAGGAAAGCCCCCACAGGAGCGTGGCTGGAAGGTTTGCAGCCAACATCTCTGGGGATCCAAGGCAGTCACATACGGCCCCCACTGCCCCGCTGCGCCCCGGCAGCACCTCTGCCATCCATATGGCAGCACATCCATACTGCCAGCACAAATGCCATTCCCCTCCTGTTAGATTAAAAAATAAGTACGCAATAGCAGCATGGATCAACTTTTCTCTTGGTAAGCTAGAACTCTGGCTTAGAATCAGGGTCATCATTGTTTGGGTTGGACTTGAAAAAAATCTGCTCAGCTACCAACCAGTGGAATGGATCATTTCAGTGGGAAAAACTAGACTTCATCTGAACTGGTCCACCATCTACCTCTGCACCTTAACTTTCACAGCACCCTTTTGTACACGCTGTGTGACATCCCTGATTCTTTCCTTTCTGCCAAAAATACAGATCAGCTCTTCTGTTGTGGGTCTCCAGAACTCAAACACTGAGCGCAGGGTGACTCGAAGCAGACAAGTCACAACACAGACTACTGAAGCCCAAAGCAACCCCTTGGCACAACAAGTCCGCTCTGTATGTCAAAAGCAAACGACCGAGCAGGAGACGCTCCCGGAGTGCCATGCGTGACGCGCTGCTGAGTCAGGCGGTGCAGCCCCACACCGTGCCAAGCCACAGCCCGGGCCGAGGGCCAGACTGGGACAGAGCAGTGCGGCCAGCGGACCCCTGACCCACACACCTCCAGCAGCCGCCCACCGCTTTCCCCTTCCTCCTGGGACAACCTCTGAGCCCAACACAGCCCTGGCAACGCAGACCTGAGCGAAGGGCGGCTGTTCCTTGAGCAGCAGCACTTCCCCTTCAGGTTCTGCACCGCCGTTGCTCGCAGCTCTTGCCCTTCCTCAAGCCTTCCTGATCCCCATCCCCACAAGCTGGAGCACTAGGAATGATTTTAGATGTAACACTAGAAGCCGTACCGCTGCCAAGGGGGCCCACTTTCTGTAAATTCTGGCTGTAGGCTGAGAAAAAAAAAAAATAGAGAACTCTGCGCTGCTGCAGCACTTCTCGCCGTCCTCCATTCCCCCAATGAGCCACATCTCCAGGAAGTCAGGGCAGCAAGAGAGCAGAGTGGAAAACGCATTAAATCCACTGCTCCAGAGAGCAGCGAGCACGCAGCACTGGAACATGGAATTCAACCAATTTCGCTTTGTGCAGCAACACCACCAGTCGTGTCAGGTTGGAGACGGACACCACCGAAAGCCCCAATTCCTCAGCGCAGCGCTTGGCAAAGCCTCGCACCAAACCCTGCCCCATTCCCAGACCCCGAGCGCTTACTCCCAGAGCAAGCTGTCAGCACGCAGCCCCTGCAGCACCCGGATGGGGCCGTCCCACAGCTGGGACTCCCACTGCTCTGCACAGCCAGCCGTGTGCCCAGCCCCGAGCTGCAGACGGCCTCTGCGCTTCTGCTCACTGTAACCAATTCCCTACGTTTGCATTCTGTGTAAGCTGCATTAACTTCAGAATGCTTTCCACTGTTCAGAGGGAAACTGATTAGCTTTCTCAGCCCTGATTATCACGTATCTCATTAGAGACGGCGTGCTGTGCTGTCCTTAGGAAAGGGAACTGAAAATTTCATTTTAAGGCTGTACGTCTACGAGACGTTGCAGGTGTTTGGACAATGCAAGCAGCGCTGCATGCACACCTGAGCACAACCCTGGCTGCTCCTCCCATGCACTCAGCATGTTATTCATGCTTTGAATAATGAAAGACTACCACCAGCAGTAGGAAATATTTCCCATTGCAAAGTGCAGCTCAGCAATCCCAGCCTTCATCTCACAGAATGGGTGCTTCAAAGGAAGCAACAAATGGAGCCCCAGACGCCCACAGGAGCCTCCTGAGATGGTTCTTCCTTTGTTTCTGGAACAAATGGCAAGAATGTCATTTTTGTTAAATCTCCTGGGTGCTACATAAAGAAATCTGCAAAACATCCACTGAAAGTGACCCAGCTCACTCCAAACATTTCTGACAAAGTTGAGGAGGAATGAATTCCCATCCCACCCCCTGAGATTCATCAGCACCTGGCAATTATTTTAAAATAAGATTCTGTTACTCCTAATGTAAGGGGAAAAAGGGTAAAAGTAAAGCAGGCAATGCTGGGCTCAGAACTGGACTTGTAGTTTTAATATATTTAAAAAAATAAATAACTACTTCCGTGAACACAGGAAATCAAACTTTTCTAAGCAAAACCAGGAGCAACCTCATTTTCCTTTTTAAACACGTATTTTAAGTTCAGTTCCATTATCTCAAATATGGCAAAAGAAAACATTACGAGCTGCAACTGCCCCAGGGCACCAGGCAGCCACAGCACCCTGCACATCACCACCCCCAGAACTGCTCCCTAACAGCCAGCACAGCATCCAGCACTGCTGCTCCTTTCACTGCAGGATCAAATCTGCACTGTATGCATGAGAAGCATTGAGAGGGCTTTTCATCACAACGTTACCAGAAACCAAGCACACAAAAATGGTGTTTATGAGACTGCCCAAAGCATTACAGATGGATGCGCACAGCACTCAGCTCCCAGAGAGCTCGGGTCTGACCAGGCAGCGCTGTACAAGAAAAACAATGCATCAACTTCACAGAAAGCCTCAAAAGTGATGTTATTATTTGTGTGGGATATGCTCTGAAATCAATCTCTCAAATCCAGAAATAGTTCTCGCTGGGATACAGATTTTGTTATGATCATCATATACACACACAGAAAATGTAATGAAAAAAAAAAACAACAAAAAAACCAACTCCCTCCCTCCCTCACCCCCCTCCCAGAAACTATGAAATAAATGAAGAACAATGTGAAAGTTGGACTGGTTTTGCAAAAGGTTCATACAGAGGATTTCTGCTCTGTCAAATAAATGATAAGGCGCATTCAATATTCATCCATCAAAGCAGACCTTCTCCCCAAAGCCCGACTTCCCTTCCTGGCTTCCTGATGCTGCAGCTTGCTCTGAACACGTCCCTAAAGCAGCACACACCTCCGCTACAAAAACCAAAACCTACCGCTGAAGTTCAGGCTGCAGCAGCTTCCAGCTGCGTGCTGAAGGGATGCGGACCCTCCTCCATCCCACCGAGCCGTGGGAAAGCAGAGCTCAGCCCGCACAGCTCACCCGCAGGGACCGACTGCCAGCAGCGCAATAACGCACAGCGCTCACACGGACGCGAACCGAACCCACAGTCGCCGCTTCTCCGCATTCAGACCCGCAGAGCCATTTCCTAACGCCCCGCCGACACGCACCAAAATCCTCCTCCCCAGGTGAGGCCACGCCAGGCTCTGTGCGACACGGCCAAGGAAAACACAGCCGGCGCTGCGGCCGGACCCGTGCTCTGAGCAGGGAGCGGGGAAAGGCCTCGTGCGGAGCAGCCGTGCGCCGGGCCGGCCGGCAGAAAGCACGGCACAGAGGCAGGCGCTCGGAGCGCACCGCCTCCCAGCAGCCCGGCTCCGGGTTAAGCCCAGGTACGGGTAAATCTCTGCAAACATTCTTATCTCTCTGAACGCAGCTATTAAGCGAACTGCTGAGCGTTTCCTACTCAGGATCCTCTTGTCCATGTAAGGCAAGCGCAACACCAAGCAAAGCTAGAGCTCCGTTTCAGCTTAAATGCAATTCTCAAAATTTACCCAGCAACCAAGCTATTTTTGTGCCTAACATTTCAGTAACACCAGGGGGAAAACAACAAAAAAACTCATGCTGCAGTAATTGATCCTCTGACCCCTGAGAACGAAGCGGCTTTCGGACACAAATACTTCCCCCTCCCCGCCGCCCTGCGCATGGATCCTTCCGCCACAAACTCCATTCCACTCTGGGATACACTTGAAACTTTTTTTTTCTTTTTTAAACAGTCTGCTGCCCTGCTCCTTTCTTCCCTTTGGCAGCACAGCTCAGCACCCAGCTATGCTCAGGAGCCAACCAACAGAGCCACAACCGACCTTCAGCAAAAACCAAACCCATGCACGCAGTTACACAGAGCACGCTTGCAATATTTCAGTACAGAGAAATAAAACTGGTTACCTTGAATAGCCATTAGAGAAAGCAGGTCTGCCAGAAAGGTTGAGCGTTCCCAAGGGAGCTAAAGCCTCGTCCCCTGATCCCTGGCACCTATTCCAATTTTCTGAACTGGCAGGAAGAGATGGAATGATATTAAAAATTGGTTTCTGATCCTGCTGCTGAGAGAGCGATGCAGTGTTTAAATCATAGTGATACATCTGTCCCCCAGAGGTGCTGACACCATGGATAGAGATGGCAGAGACTTTAGCACCCAGCAGATTAGACCCGGAGAAGTTTGCCTGACAGTAAATTGGGCCCATGTTTTCTTGCTTTATGCCAGGAGTACAGAGTTCAATGTAGTCTTCCTTTTCTGTTTTCACTTGAGGCATCGGCATTTTGGAACTGGGTAAAAGGTCACCACGGTCATTAATTTTAGGTTTAGTGTCAGACAAAATGGGGGGCTTGCAGTCTTCCCCCAGGTTTCCCTCCAGGAGGAACGTGTCGTCAGCAGAGATGGGGGACAGCAAACCTCCGTCATCGAGCAACGGGTCCAGCCGCCACGGGCTCCCATTCGGCTCTTTGCCAGGCGATACCGATGGCAATTCTAAGTCCTGGAGGATATCCAGGGTGCTTTGGTCTTCAGAGAACAGCTTCAGGCTGCCGCCGTTGGAGCCGACCTGGCTTTGGACCGAAGCCCCCGGCTCCAGGGGCCCGCGGCCAGCCATGCCCGCAAAGTCCGGCTCCAGCGGCGCCTCGGATGACACTGCTCCCTTCGTGTCCTCTGCCAGGCTCGAGGACTTGTTCAAGCTTGCTATGCTTTCCTCCAGGAGCCTGAAGTCCGTTTCTCCAGAAGGGATGCCAGTTTGGCCCTGTTGTGAAAATCCAAGGTCGTTTCCCATCACTTTCGCATCTGTTTCACCCATATACAGTCCCATGGAGAGCGACACTGCCTTGGACAGGTCCGGCGGAGGCACATTGTTTACCAATCCTTTAGAGAAGTCAGCCAGAGCGGGTTGCTGAGCAGAGTCTGACTGAGAAGACACGGGGAGAGGAGCTGCAGATACAGGGGCTTGTGCGGAGGCTCCACCCCTGAAGGGCGGATGGAAGTCCATCACAATCCCTCCTTTGGTACTCATGAGCACATTTTTCCCGGTTTCGTCTTGATCTGACGACTTAAGCAATTCTTTGGAATCCATGATTTTAACATCAGCTACAAAAAGATCACAAGATACCAAAGTTAGCACATCGAGGGTACTTTAATAACAGCATAACAGAAGGCAAAATCATCAGCCTGGTTTGGTTTGAGGACGGAAGCAAAGCAAACCAAGCCACGAGCTGACATACGCCACGTTTTTCCCAAACCCACTGATATATTTTAACAGGTGAGTGATAATTAGAATTTGTTATTTTTAAAGCTTTCTAAAGCCGTACGGAGCGCTCCGTGCGCCAGCACCGCTCAGAGCCACAGCACAACGGCAGGCACTTTGTGAGCACTTCCCAGCTCTGCTACAGCCACGCCAGCAAGCAGAGGAGCTGCGAACTGTGAAAGTGCCTCATTCACAGCCTCCGACAGCGACCTCCCCGGCACCGCTCGGTGCCAGCCAGCCCAACGCGGCAGCTGCCCGGGAGCCGCACAGCCTCGGTGCCCCAGAACGCTCTGCTTCAGTTCAGCCTAAAACAGAACGCGTGAATCCTAAAAATAAGTCACTGTCATTCTGTAAATAAGCCCCACATTTACACATAAAACTCAACTAAAACTAAAGTAGTATTTTTACCAGCTTCAAACACTTCAAAAGCCCGCGGCTATCCTCCAAACCCATCTAGCACCGGCAGTAAATCTCAGTTTCGTCTGTTTGTGTTTACTCTATTTACTTCCAGCGCGGAGCGTAAATATTTGGAGAAAAACTGCAAATTCTTATCCGAACTTCCCACGCTGCCTCTCCTCTGCCCGAACCCCGCCGCCCTCAGCCACGGGCCCGCAGCACACAGCGCAGCTCCCGGCCCCGCACCGCCCGCCCGGCCCCGCGTGCCAAAGCGAGGGCCGCAGCCAGCAGCGCGGCTCCGGGCGCACGGCGTTAAGGTGGCCCGGCCGAGTGGAGCGAGCTCAGCTCGGGGCCGGGGGAGGGTTTGGGATCGTGTCGCATAACCTCAGCGCGGCCGAAGGGAGAATCTCTCGCCCTCGTTTTCCAACTCGCGCGCGACGCCGACAGCCGCCCCGACACCCAAACACAGCGCCCGAAATTCGGGGACCGTGAAAACGCTGCGCGACGACTCCGCGGGGAAACCGCGACGATAACTGAAATATCGAAGCGCGGACACAAGCGCAGCCCGTTCGCTTCGGCTCCGCCGCGCTCACACGAGGGGAAGGCGCCCGATCCGCTCCATCCGACGACGTCCCCGGGCAGCGGTGGACACTCGGCGCGGCGGACGCGGCCGGAGCGACACGCGCGGACCCACGGAGGGATCGAAGAGCAGCGAACAGCGTTACGTGCGGCGAATTCCCGTTCGCGCGGCGCGGCTTCCCAAGCAATGTGTCGGGACCTGTTGAGCCGTCTCCTGGCACACCCACTTCTACAAAATAACACCGGCCCACGGCAGCGGGGCGCCGCGCTCCCCCTGCGCTCTGCTCCCCGCGACCACCCGTGCTGCGGGCGGCAACGAAACCCCGGGGCCGCCTTCAGCCCCGTCCCGTGGAGCAGCTCGGCCGGCCTGCCGCCCCCTCCCCCCCCCCGGCGCTCGGGGCATTCCTGCGGGGCGTCCCCCCCGCCCCCTCCCAAGGAAGTTCCCGGCCCCGCGTTGTCCCCCCCCTCCCCGACCTCCCTCACGGCCCTTACCTCGTCCAGGGGGGGGCGCTGGATCCTTCAGCCACCCACCGCCATGGCGGCCGGGGGCAGCGGCCGGGGGCAGCAGGCTGAGCGGAGCGGGGCGGGCGGAGGAAGTCAGCAGCCGCCCCTCCTGGAGCGGAGCGGAGAGCGCCCGCCGCCCCCCCCTTCCTCCTCCCACCGGCCCGAGCTCCGGCCCGAATCCCCGCCCCTCCCTCCCTCCGCTGCCCGCGGCGCCCCCTCGCTAATTAGAGCTAATTGCCTCCGCAGACTTTGCCCCGCGCTGCCCGCCCCCCTCCCGCCGCCCTCCCCTCGGCCGCGCCGCGCTCGGCGGTGCTGTGCCCCAGCCACAAAATGGAGGACGGCGGCGGCCGCCTCCCCGCCCCCTCCCTGCCGCCCGCCTCCCCGACGTGGAGAGGGAGTGGAGCCGGCGGCACTTATAGGGGCGGCTGCAGCGCCCGCTCCGCTCCGGCCCCGCACGGCTCCGCTCGGCTCCGCTCCGCGGGGCAGCGCCCGCCGGGCTCAAGCGAGGGGGAACGGTGCGACCTGTTGGCTGCGGCGGGCAACTGCAGCCTGCACCCGGGCTCCGAGGGGGCCGCCGCCGCCGCCCGGGCTCGGCCCGCTACCGCGAGGCCGCCCCGCCCCGCTCCCGTCCCGTCCCGTCCCGCTCCCCAGGCGGGGGCAGCGCCGCGCGGGGGGGCCGGGCTGAGCGCCGCGCTCCTGGCGCTGCCCCTCCGCGGACGTCCGTCCCAGCGGGAGGCGGGTGACGTCCCCGCAGCAGAACGCGGGGCGTGCGGGGGGGCGGCCAGAAGTCAGCGGGAAGGCGCTCGCGGGTTTGCGTGTCGTTCCTCGGGGGCCGCTGGAGGTGTGGGGGTGAAGGGCTCGAGCTGAATGCGCGGAAACTGAAAAGCCCACGGATAGTTGAGGGAAAGAGGTGCTGGGGGGTGGGGGGGGCATTCCGGCTTGCAGCACTGACAGAACGCACGTTGTCACCGAGAGGTGCGCCTCTGCCCCGCGGAGCACCGTGCCGCTTCACTTGCGAGGTTCTGAATAAAAGGAACAACAGTGGGAGTTCAGCGCGGCTGGGGCGAATTGAGGTGCAGAGGCTCCTCTGCGCGCTGCGGGGACGTCTCCCGTAACGGCGGCCGAGAGCGGGGCAAGGACAGAGCAGGAGCCATCACAGAGGATGTAGACCAGGAGTGAAAAATAGAATGAAATGGAACAGCAAAGCAGAAAGCTCTGCTTTGCAGAAATGTAGGGAGCAGGGCGCCTTTCCAGGGCACAACGAGGGACCCTCGTGCCACCGGTGTTCCACAGAGCTGACAAATTTCAGAAGCAGTGATTGTCAGATGCCAAAGGGGTCAGTTCTGATTTGGGGCAATTAATGACGTTGGAGATGATGAGCAGGTACTGCCCGTGCTCATGCTGTTGATGAGCAGCCAGTGTCTGCTGTGGTACCCGATAGATCACTTCACACAGTACTGAACACATCACTGAAATGGGTTTTCTTTCTATCCAGCTGTTTAAATCCAGATTTGGATATTCTTTCATTGGGAAGGCCAAGAAAAGCACCATTTTGAAAGCATCATAAATCCTTATTAGTTGTTATTATTATTATTACTATTTTAACACAGTGTTGAATTTTGGAACACTCTGCTTTATGTTTACATATGCAAAATAAATGCACACTGTGTTAGCCCTTGTATTCATCTATGCTGCACATATGGAAAATGGTTCTAAAAATCTACATATTCCTCTGCAACTCCCCTTAATCTCATGGACGTTTGAAAGGGACATTTAAAATGGCATTTCAAACTGTCGTCTCGTGCCACAAATTATAGCTAGCAGGAAGCACTGCTTCCCATATGAGAACAGCAGAGTGAGCAGTCAGGCTACAGTCACAGAGATCTTTGCTATCAGGTACAGGAATGCTGCAGGGGACTTTGCCATGAAGCAAAAGCCAGAACGTCTCCCAGAGAAGGGAATCCTGACGCACATCTGGGGCTATACCTAGAAAATGTACTCCACTTTACTGCTCTGTGAATACTCTACCATAGACACTCTTCCATTTGGTGTCAACCTGCTCAGCTCAGCCCTGGGGTGTGAAGGAACTTCTGTACAGTGAGGTGAGGAGCACTGGAACAGGCTGCCCAGGGAGGTGGTGGAGTCTCCTTCTCTGGAGATGTTCCAGACCTGCCTGGATGCCGACCTGTGCGACCTGGTGTGGGGAACCTGCTTTGGCAGGGGGTTGGACTCGATGATCTCTGGAGGTCCCTTCCAACACCTACCATTGTGTGATTCTGTGATTCTGTGTGTGTGCCAGGACATCAGCCTGTACAGGAGGGCTGCAGCTTCGCACTGTGCCAGCGCCAGCCTGAACTCCATGCTGTCTCAGGAACGTGTTTACCATAGCTGGTTGTTTCTAAGATCTTTAGATGAGACCTCTGTTTACAAACACGCTCCCATGCTTGGTTGAAGCTGGTTTTGCAAAGTAACGAGTAGGACATTTCTTCTCTAATTAACAGCTTGATATCATCTTTTATCCAAGAGGACACGATTTCGTGTTGCTGTGCTGCGTTTATCTCCAGCATCACGCAGTGACGTAAAGCAGTGCCAAACAGTGAGCAAAGAGCATCCCATGGCTTGGAGTGAGGGGCACCGCGGGGTCGTGTTTGCAGAGACGAGATGTGATCAGGGTGGAATGATTTACTAAGGACGTTTTTGGCTCGTTGCTAAGCACAGCAGCATTCGTTACAAGGCCATCGTTGGTAAGCTCGTGGTAAACCGTACAGCTGCACTCATGTTTGAATGCAGAGTTGGGTTTGCTCATTGTCTGCAAGTTGCTGCTACACACAAGAGGTCTGACTTATAGATTTGTTCCCTTTTAAGCATCATTCATTGAACGGAGCCAGTGAATACCCTCAGATGTTTTCTGCCTCTAGCCCACCACGTCAGGAAGGGAGCATTACCGACTCACTTCTGCTGGCCACAAGTGCTGCTGGAGGAGAACCAGCGCACAGCCTGCAGTGATGGAGAGCTCAGCCATAGCCTGCCTGCTGCCTGTGTGTGCAGCCGGGCCGACCTCCTCCTGCCTTCCTCCAAGCACAGCAGTTCCCTGCGGTACTCCCAGACTGTAAAAACAAATGTAATGTAGAAACATTTTCCAGTAGAAACATGAGAGCCTGTAAATAACAACTGGAGAACTCTTCCGTGATGATAGAGATAGATGAAATCCATCCTCGTTAGTTCCACCAGTCCTCTTCTTCTCAATACACAAATTCTGCCATATAGCAATCATTATACAAATACTGTTGCTATTTTGCTAATGAATATATACTTAACTGATGAGTTCAAATACAGGAAACTTTTTTTTGGTTTGCATCTCGATGCATCTACTAAGTTTTAAGTAATAATTCTATGTAAAGGAGAAAGACACTTGGAGAACAGAGGGAAGAAATTTGAATTTGGGGAAGAACGTTGTATTGACAAAAAAAATGTTGGCTGTCAATCCGTGCATCGTGTCGAAAGTGTTTGAGCAAGCAGGGCTGTGGGCAGGGGGCACCCAGCTGGGTGCAGAGCTGTGGGGCTGTGGGGGGAGAGCGGTGGTAGAGCTGTCAGAGGAGACTGAAAAAGGAAATGAATGGCTGTGCTTCCCTATGCCACCACATAACAATCTTGCAAAGACAAGGACTCTCAACCTCAGCAAACATTAAACATAGACATTAAAAGATGTATCTAGCTGTGGAACATTATTAAATCATAAAGGTGCGGTTACGGCTCTCGTGGAAGAGATGGAGCAATGCATCGGAACTGAGAACTGAGAACTTCAGACCTGCGTGCAGCATTCTGAGCCAAGGGCCAGAGAGCAACTCCTGAAGCGCTGCAGGGCGCTGTGTTGGCTGCTGGCTGCAGGCATTGCTCGTCTGTGGAGGGCCGGGGTGGGCAGGGAGCCCCAAGGCAAGCAGACGGTGCCACGTGTGACCAAAGTGAGCTCGTGTAAAGTGAACCACACAAAGCACGAAGGGGAAAATGTGGGCTGGGGTCACGGGGTAAAGACTGACCTGCTCTAAACTCAAGGAAACAACGTAAAAGCACACGAGCAAGTTTAAAGCACGGGGAAATGTCTTTGGTTACAAACTGCTGACAAGCCCAATAAGAACAGAGCTAACACGTGGGTCCCGGCTGGCAAATGTATATAGGCCACTGAGGATCTGCACTACATCATTCTTTAGTGCCAGAAGCAGGCTAGAAAATAAATGATTGAAGTGTTTCCAGACGAAGCGATGTGCTCATGAAATACAATAGAAGGAACTTTCTCAGCAACCTTCAAGAAAACAGTGTCTGAAATGGCACTAGCAATTAATGGAGATTAGGTTCAATTGATTGGATCTGCTTTGCATTGGCAGCAAAGAGGAGTTTGCAGGCTAAGTGACTGATTTGCCAGTATTTCAGTTAAAATACAGAAATGGACACAAATGATGTCTTTGATCTCCGAAGCAATCAATAAAAAGATAAGCTTAGAGGTTTCTTTATGCTGAGGAGCTGTGCTCAGTGTCTCAGGCACTGGGGAATGGAAAGAGCTTGGTGATACCAAGGGCATGGTAGCACCAGTGACCAGAAAGCACATTAACATAGCAAAATCTTACTGAATAAAGATCTGCAGAGGTGATAGGCATTGGAAGATGATTATTTAAAATAAAGAACTTGTGCTCTTGTAATAAATACTGCGTGAAATCCACAAATAGCAAATAATAAACACTTCATCTTGCAAAACGACAGTTGGCTTTGCTTCTTCCTATGAACTGCTCATTCTGTATCTGTGGGTCGCAGACAGCTCTCATAAACCTCAGCTCTGTAGGAAGACTTTTCCTCCCTCTGCAATCTGTTGTCTCCACAGAAGGACAGCGATGTGCCCAGTACCCCATGCTCTGCACAGTTGCAAATCCTTTGAGATCTCACTTTTGTCTCATAAGCAGATTGGTTTTGTGTCCTCTCACAAGTCACTTGTTTTAATTCTTGAATGTATATTGAAGTCACTGAGCTGGTGGCTGCAGCGTGCCAGCAGTTCCCCCTGGGGCAGAGCAGAGGTAGCACATCTCCCAGCTGCGGTTTCCCCAGGCACAGCAGCACAATTCCTCACGAGGAGGCAGTGAGCAGAACCTGTGTGAC